CTTTTGGCTTCGTTGATTTGCTTCACCAGCTTTATATAGACTTAATGCTTTGTAATGATGAATGATGGGGGGAGCAGCCAACAACTTAGAAAATTAAATTTTTTTCTTTGTTTTTTCTTGCCTCAGTTCTGCCTCTGTTCCCCCAGCTTCATCCATTTCAGTGTGTTAGCTTCAAGTGTGGTGTAGCCAGTGGTGCCGGTGTAGGCGGCATTGCAGGGGTGCTGCATTTCCATGAGCACACTCAGAAGCTAGCACTGCTTCTGGCCTCCCATCCTTGTTCTCCTGACTGCACTCACACTGGCATTTGTGTGAGCTCTGGGGAGGTAGATTGGAAGGCTTAAAACTGTTTTCTTCTTGGCGCGTGGTACAAGATCACAGGATTGATCTGAAGATTTGCTACGCAATTTGCTGTATGATTGTTTGCTCCACTGAGTAGGATGATTAGTGGTTGTAGATTTTTAGGAGGGGGCAGGGAAGGGGATCAGGACTATGTATGGTGGCAGTACTGGCCGAACCTGGAACTTCAGTGTGACTTAGGTCTGCCTTGTAAAGTTAACGCCTCCTGAGGGTCAAAAGGGTTTGTGGACCTAGATCTAGAGACATGCGTTAGTGTTCCAGTTGTTCTTGTTCTAGATTTAACATGCGTTAGTGTTCCAGTTGTTCTTGTTCTAGGTTTAACATCTTATCTGTGAGGTTTTCCCTGCATATCCAAATTAGATTGTTTGCTATATTACAGCTTCTGTTTTATGAGAGTTAAAATCTATAGAATATGAATATCACTGCTGTAGCATTTTGAAGGTTAGGGTGGAATCCGTGGGTGTAGAAATGCTTTGGAAATGGCAGTAGCCTCTTGATGAAAAACTACATTTTTTTTTTCCCCTCACTAAAGCTGTAAACACTGAGACAAAATTATATATTCTACCAAAGCAGCAGTGCTCTGTATTTAATTTTTAGAAATTCCTGTTGTCATGAGTGGGTGATAACTGTCAGCTCACATAATGTGATTTGCTTTGTCTGAAACACAGTAGAGAAAGTTACTAGTCTATGCTGCCCACACACTAATCTTCCAAGTGTTTTGTAGTATTGCCTAACCATAGTTATGTAGCCTGTGATGTAAATTAAATGAAATACTGATGTAGCAGATTTCTAGACTGGTAACAGATGCCTCCTGTGTTAGGAAACATGACTGCTTTTAGTATAAACATGGGGAAGGTGGCTGTGTGGCCTTGAGTGGATTGCTTGGTCTGTTTATTTGTAAGGTTAGGGGAAAAAGTCAGACACACCCACACTTTAGATTTATTATGTCAGAATGTCACTCCCACACCAGTAGTGGTTATACTGCTCCATATGGTGTTTGGTGGTCCCTCAAGAAGAACCAAAAGACTCCTGATGAGGATGAGCAAAGAGAGTAAGTCAAATCTGCTCTTAATGTAGGCAGGTGTTTCAGAAGGCAGCATCTGTCTGGGGAGCCGTGTGCTGTTATAGGACAGCATCTTGCAAGAAGGAACCAGTACCGGTAGCACAAGGCCCCCTGTCACTTCAGAGCACTAAAAAAAAAAAAAAAAGGCAGCATATAAAAAAAAAGCATTTTCACTTTTCATTCTGTGAAAATACTGTGATTGGTATTGACTGGGGCATCTTGCCAGTTGTATGGGGAAGTGGGGAGAAATGTTTTACAAGCTGGTGGTCAAAACGATGAGGTAGGAAGTCCCGGTGCCAGGGAGGGCAACCTAACAAAAAGTAAGACTTCAGGCTATGTTTGTATTTTAGGTCCTGAAATGGTATGCTTGCTTTTCTGCCTCAGACTATATTTTAAGCCTCTTTATCTAGCAGAATCCCATTTTTCTGGAATTTAATGATGTGCTAGCTAAATGCCACCTGCTGACTCCTCTTTTGTACCAGTAGCAGCAGCAAAAGCAATGTTTATTAGTAGTATGTGCATTTTACCATTGCCGCTCCTGTCTTTTGCCAGGATCCTGATTTCCACGGGGAGGGAGGTAGAACAGTGCTGGAGGCCTCAGTGTGCCTGCATCTGGAGAATGTTTGCACTGGCAGCCAGTGTATTGCTGTAATACAGGCTTAAACTGATGCAAATGGAGTCTTGGACTCTGCTCAGATTAGTGGGGTTCTGCTGTTGTGTCCTAGCATCCCCTTTTCCCTCTCTTCCCGAGACCCATCAGACTTACTGACTTGGACGAGTGTATGACTATTGATTGTTGAAATATAAATTGCCATTTGGAGCTAGAGACTGAAATGAAGAAGTTGGGAAAACCACGTTCGTTCCTTCTCTTGTGTTCTCTCAGCTGCAGGCTTAGAAAAGCATGTCAGGAGAGTGGTGTTTAAACAAGTTCTCTTTACTGTGTCTCGTAATAGTAAGATTCCTAAATGTTGTCTGTGAAGCTGGGTGGGTTGAAAAGGTCAGTAACTAAAGCTGAACCAGGGCACGAGCAAACAAAACTGCCTACATCTTAGGAACGTATATTGCAAAACTCAGCTTATGCATATGACTGGGTCGCATCTAGAAAAGTCCTTTCCAGTCAGTGCCTGTACTGCCATAAAGTACAACTTTCTTTGTTTTAACAAAGGTTAAGCGTTTTTTGCTATAAATGAACTGTGAGCATTAGAACCTAGTTAAAAGGTGAGGTTTTGGAAAGCAAAAAAACTTGTTTTCAGTATTTGGTTAAAACTGTATGGAAATCAGTGTCTGAACTGTGGAAATACCAAGCTCAGGTGTTAATGGTGAATGTTCACACTCTCTAGCCTGACAAATTTTGCAGGTATTGTTTCTGTAAGGATGTGCAATATATCCTTTAATCGTTCTCCAGACTCTGCCATTTCTCTGAAACCAGCTAAGTAGCTCATTCTGTGTGTTTAGTCCCTTTACTGGGGCTATTGAGGAAAAAATGTTTTAGTTCTGACTTAACTCAGTTTTACTCCGTCTTGTATGGAATTTTTACTCCATCTTGTATGGAATCAGGAGGAGTAATACCTTTGTTTAATGATTTTTCTGTTGCTACTGTGCCTGTCCAGGTGCACTAATCTAAAGTTGCCTGTGGGTAGTGTATCTTAAGCAACCTGCATAAGTAGCATGTATGTGAAGGCTACTTAAGTGATGTCTGGCTTTATTATATACAAATTAATCTACTTCATGTCAAGTGGATCAGTATGACTTGTGTAATACCTACCAACTTTCAGTAGGATCTGAAGATTCCTCTTACGCACGTGCAGGCCATCTTAGCTTGAAAAAAGCAGAAATTATTCTCTGTCCGTTAGTCTTGCAATCTTGCTTCGGTATGCCAAGTCACATGATTTTCCCATTGTTTTTTCCATAACTACTTAAAGCTATGGAGTATCCTACCAAAATGTACTCTCCTTAGATTTTCTACATGGTCTCTGCATTTCTGAAAACTATTTCCATTTGGTTGGGCAGCAAATAAACTTCCTGGCTGGGGTTGAAGAGGGATGGGGGATGTGTCTGGACCAAGGAGGGACTCTCAATCTGCTTCCAGATGGAAGCCAAGCCTAGCGTGGGGAGACCTCTGGAAGGAAAATTAAAGTCTGTTTGGGATCTCTGTCTATAGTCTCTTGGGCTGGAGATGTCGTTGTGTGTCCTTGATCTGTTTGTGTGTGTGTGTGGTTTTAGCCTCAGGGGGGGAAAAAAGTTTAAGGCAAGGCTTGAAATATTTGTGTTGAGATTTCAAAAAATAAGCTCCTCCAATAACATACTGATGGTAGTACTCCATAGTTGTCCTGGCTAAAGCAAACTGTTTTTTGTATTGAATGGGAGTCTCAAAGCTGACAGGTATTTGGTTCTGTTCCTTCTTTCAGTGGGATTGTTTTTTACACCCAGGTGCAGACTGCCTTCTAAAAAAAAATTAGTTTCCCTTCTCATGGCTGTGGATGTGGTGGAGATCTTCAGTTCTCCGTTCTGTGGTGCTTGGTTTCAGACTTTGCTGGGTAGGCTTGGTTTTTGCATGCTGTCTGTGAATGTCCGTGTCAGCATAGTCCTTGAAGTCTTTTTCTTAGTTATGAGGTGTTTGAAAATTTTCTGTGCTTGTGCTTCCCTGTTACAAGCCTTTCACTGACATCTTATGGGAGGAAAACATTTACCTCCAGTGAGTGGAAGGTTGAAATGTGGAACTGCTTCTTGTCTGTCATAGGCAGCACTCATGCGGTCAGTGCTCTAGAATGCGAGGGCTGTGTGAGTGCTTTGTCTTCCCTGCTGCAGCTCTTGATCTAACAGCTTGTCCTCTGTTGTCTTTTTTTTTTCCTATGCATGGCATTTCTGCAGAGGTGGTTTAGTTATGATACTCTGAAAAGCTGTAGTTCTCTGAAATATTTGAGCAACAGTTGCAGTTGAACCTTATCTCTAGTGTATGTAAGGAAGCAAGAAAACTGAACTCTGCAGAGCAGATCAGCTGTTTAACGGTGGGGCTTCTGTGCTTGAGAATAAAACCTCTTATGGGGTACTGATTTGCTAAAGAAACATTAAAGTATGGAAAAGACAGAGTACAACTGCCAATTGTATTTAGCAATCTGTATACACTGAGGTTTTCCAGGTAACCACTTCTAACTTCTTGCTAGCTGGGTTGTTGGATGTGCAATCCACAGGGTGTGTGTTTAGACTTTTGCATAAGACCAGGCAGCCATCTGTGTAAGTAAAATGGTTTTGAAGGAGTGAGAAAGCGGATGAATGTCAACTTGGTGATGCAAATCTTCCTAGGCTAACTGTATAGCTAGTTTCCTTTTTGGGTGTCCCTCCCTGTTACCACATAAGGGTGCTTAAAGAAGATAGGATTATTGAGCAACAAATACTTAGAGGGAGTTTAGGGTCAGCAGAAGTTTCTGAGCTGACTTTGAACATACTGCTGAATGGCATACGGTACAGGTTACTATAGTCCCTTTCTCAACAGAGCAAAAGAGATCTGGAAAAAAATCCTTTATTCTTAAAATCTTTCACTGCCTAACTCTTCTCATCCTTTCTCTTCTGTGCAGACGCTGTGCTATAGAAGATGCACTATTACCGATATTCTAATGCAGAAGTCAGCTGTTGGTACAAATACCTGCTCTTCAGCTACAACATTGTCTTCTGGGTGAGTACAAAATGTAGAGACTGAAATAGTTTAGGCATACCTTAGTCTTATTAACTTCCTGCGTATTTCTTCAAGAGGACAGGCTGAAATATTTACTTGAAAGGAGGAAGCTGATGTATGGTATGTCTTGGGTATTTTGGAATTGAAGAAGCCTATCCCATGTGAGAAAGTAACTATTATTGAAAATTATACGGATAACGATTCCTCACAATCTTTCCCTTCCTTGCCCCTTCCTCCTATCTTACCTTCTGAATGAAGATAAAGGAGTGAAGCAGATAAAACTGGTTTTCTTTTTTTTTTTTAATGGAGAAAGGAAAGATCTGCTTAAAGGATTTGTCAAAAGAAAATAGTATAGCCTCTACTGTTGCTGACAAGGCCTTTGTCTTTTGAATGATGGAGGCCATTAAATGCTGGTTGTGTTTGGGCAAAGGTTAAAGCTACCTTTCTTAAGGGCACTTAAGTGGTATGTTAAGTTGCTTCCCTGTTAAGTCTCTTCTAATATCTCCTTTCAGATCATCTTTGATCTCTGTGTTGGGGTGGTGTAGCTGTAAATACGCTATGCAGAAGAGAAGAAAGGAACTGCTCCAGAGATGTGTCAACAGCTGGCATTACAACATAGTCAAGATCTTAAATGTCATGCTCTGTGGGCAGCAAAATTGTCTGATACTGTCTTGAAATACTTAGCTAGGGACTAGCCTGCCTGTAATGTTTGTTTAGAATTGTGAATGCGAAAATGGTGCAAAACCAGGTGTGTGGTGTTAGATGTGTGTGATCATCAAGATCACTGAAGCACCTAACTGCCTTGGAAAAGGTGGTGATTCAAAGGTTAGTGCATAGTGTTGCATTAGAAGTAGTTAACATATCTGTGAGGGGGAGGTGAAGGTAAGGATGCAGTTCAGATAAACTTGATAATTCATTTCAAAACTTGCAGGTCAATGTTAGGAGTTCGCTCCTGAAGTCGTGGAAACTGCAGTCATGGAAAGGCCTGGGCAGTCATGGGGAAGTGCAGATACAGTGACTTGCCTGGTGCTAGCAGCTTTGATTAATGTTCTGATTCAGAGTTGAAATATTTCGTAGTATGGATAGCCGCTTCTAAAGATGTTTAGATTTTTTCAAAGCTGAACGGATCAGATAGTAAGAATGAAAGTACCGTATGTGGTTGAAGCAACTTGTTTTAAGAGTAAAAATTGATTCTCCTGATCCTGACTTGCCTGAGGTCAGTAGACATGCTAGAGAAGACTATATTAATTCTTCTTGTTTTCTGCGATTCCTTAAACCATGTCAACTTTTTACTACCTAAAATTTAAGATATGCAGAATTATTACCCAAATCTGTATTTAACTTCAGTAAAAAAAAGGGGGTTAGTGTAATAGTGCAATAATAAATTGCAGGCTGCAGAATCTTGTTCGTACTTGTCAATAATGACTTGGTATTTTGCTTGATTAACCCACATAAACTTCTGGTAAACTAGGTTGGCATTTCTGCACATTTTGGCTGCTTTGGCAGTATTTACGGTAGAAAATAAGCTTTTCTGAAAGCTGCATGTATGATGGACAAAACTCTGAATTAGTTTAGAATCATAGAAAAATCTAGGTTTGATGGAACTTCTGGAGGTCATCTGGCCCAATCTTCTGTTGAAAGCAAGATCCATAGGGTTCTCAAAGAGAAGAGCTGGGAGTCTTGTGAGCTTCTTACTCATCAATTTTCTGCTGTTTTCAGCCTAATAAAAACGTTAGAAGGCCAGGTAATACTGAGACTACAGTGTCTGGCTATTGCTGTTGAAAACCACAGAACTTTTTGCTACTGTCGCCACCTCTTGTTTACTAGTGCAATGTTTTAACATGATACTGTAGCATTAAGCCACAGGGGAGTTCATCCTTGTGTGGATAACAGGACAGAAAAGCTGTGTGTGGCTTGTGTAGAAACTTTTTTCCAGTAAGGGTTGATTGGCTATAATATTGCCATAGTGCAAATGCTCTTTAGTGATGATTTTCTCCCCCTAGCAATTGAGGATTGGCCTCGTATCAAAAAGTATGTGCCCAAAGGCCGCCAGCTCTGTAGTTATTTTTCTTCATCTGTGTAGCACAACTTCCATGTACCTGTAGTGGAGTGTGGTGCAATGAGAAGTAATATCCATCAAGCTGGTTTTCAGAGAAATCACTTTGTAACTGGGTGGATGCTCTTCAGCAGATAGTGTGGGGGATATGTGAGAAATTGGCAGACTCTTTTGTTCATGAATATATTAGGATTGTTCTAGACATCTGCTTTTTTTCTAGTGAGTGTCTCATGAAGTGGGGTCTGTTACTGTTTTTGATGGGTAAACAACCTTTGAAAAACTGAATTTTTTTGTCTTTACTGGGAAGACTATCAAGAATTTGCCTCTACTTTTTCACAGGAATTAATTTTATCTTTTTCTATTTTCTTTTTTTATTTCCTCATGTCATTACATTTCACTTTTTTCAAATTTCTTTTTTTACTGTATTCTCTTGAAATTAATGGTGAAGATCCAAGGATTTTTTTCTTTTCCTTAAAGAATCATTTTTAAAGAAGAGATGCAGAAAAATTGAGGGGAATTTGAAATACAGCTTGTGTGTTTCAGCTGATCTGTTGGCTGGAGGAATTGGTTTTCTGAACAGGTACTAGTAGTCTTGGTAGCTTGCTCAATGAATGGTCTGAGGCTTCTGCTGAGAAGTTATCATCAGGCTGACCTAGTAAATTACGTGTAACTACAGCTCTTTTGATAAGAGCGCGGCACCTTTAGTTGTAGAACAAGCTATGTAAATGTTGAGTGGGAGGGTAGACAGTCCTATAGGCAATGCATGAATCATTTAGCTGACACAGTGATTCAGGAGCCTGTGACATCCGGCTGGCTGGGATGACTAGTCTAACAGTCTTTTTAGTTAGACAAATCCATCGTGTGTAGAACAAAGTAAATTTTCTGCGTGCTTTAAAAGAACTGAAGGACTACAAAATCAGAAGGGAAATGTAACCATGACTGGAAAAAGCAGCATTTAAGGAGGGAATGTTAGTCTTGATTCACTTTCCTTGGCTTGCAGGACAGGTGCTTGTGGGAGCTTGTTTTGTGAGTGAGTGTGTTAGGAAGGGTGGCCACTATATAATGGGTGTGAGGGATAGTATTTAGATAGGTGTCCAGACAGCCTTTTCCCCCTTTAAGCTGTTACTGGAGGCATGATGGTAGCTCACCCAAGTCTCAGCTCACGACACAGTTTATTCACAAGCCAGGTAATTTGCATGTAAATAAAAAGTTGCATTTGTTCTTCTGTCACGCTTACTAAAGATGCATGTTGACTTCCCTGTTGTAGCTCTAGAGCTACTATCAGTGACCGTATAAACTTTAAAGTTAAAGCATATGGTGACTTAGTGAGTGGTTTACAGAATATTTAAACTTTTTAGTGGGTGGTTACTTTTCTTCAGTTTGTGTCATGTTTCAAATACAGTTCACATAAATTGGGGTGGAACAAAATCTTGAACTCAAAGAGGACAAATATGACTATTTTAATAATGTCAAGCTGACAGTTTAATCATTAGAAATCTGTAAATCTTCATTCTTTGGAAGTTTTTTTTTCAGGTGGGCAACTTGGCAATAGAAGGTTCAGTTCTGCTGGCTTTGAGTTAGTTGTGTATGACTGGCTTGCAAAATCACTTCTCTATTCTTTGTGCTTGGCTTTCCCTTGTAAGAAAGGGAATGGAGGTCATAAGAAGGCTCTGTCTTTCTAGGCATGATTTTAATGTGGAATTACTTTATTTTCATCTTGCTTTTTAAGCATGCTAATAAGGTTTAACTTCTCCAAGTACCCTTGTTTTAATGAGTAGTGATGAGGCAGTATTGCAACCATTAAGATAGCCCTGCAGGGAGTGATAAGAAGTTTAAGTGAAATTACCCTATTACAGCAAGGCTGGACCTCCTGTTGAGTTTTAAAGTTGTTGTTTTTTTTTTTCCAAATAGCTTCATTTGTCATAATGAAATTAAAAGACTGCAGTAATACAAGGTGAAGAGCTTGGTTCTGGCACCTTTCTGTTCTGAGTCATTGTGCAATTGAGTGAGTCTTTCTGTGAAAGCCCCAGTGGAGGGAGGAGGCAGGGGGTGGACAACTGACCTCAGGGGGAGTGCAGGGGTGTCCTGTCTTGGGGTGCAGGACTCTTCTATGCCTTCCAGCCTGCACTTGGGAAGGCCCAGGGAATAAAAGGAGGTGCCTCAATCACCTGTCTCTGGTGATTGCTTCTTTGTCTCCAGTTGAAAGATTTTTTGGGGTAGGCCAAGAATTGCACCTCAGCCAGGACATGGCTATTTCAGTGAACGATTGCATGTGTGCTCTGCCAAAGCCTTTTAGGTTGCATGTGAGCTCACTGCCTCTCAGGTGAATTGAGAGGAGAAGGTAAAATAGCTTTTAGCTGCTGTCACCTTGATTTATCTTCTAATGCTCTGTAGCTTTGTGTGTGGCTCTTAAGGGTTTTTGGAGGGGAAAAAAACCCCAACTTTTCACTCATGCTATAGGAGATGTGGCATTTTTGCCCTCAACGTCATGGTGAAGGGCAAAATTTCTATTAAGCTCTGGAAAAGAATTCTGAGCTCATTTTTGAAAAGTAAGAGAAGACCCAGGCTAGCATAAGATTTTCTTGGCTTTTGCACTGTATGTTGTTTTTCAGGAACATCTAAAACAGTAAGGCTGTGCCAGGAAGAGGAAAGAATCCACCACCAGGTGGTTTCCTGACCCTGAGAGGAAAAGTCTGGGAAGAGACAAGGGTAGGAAGGAAGGGCTGTAGGCTGCTGATTGCTCCCGCATGGGTGGAGCTACAATGTAAAATAGGATTGTCCATGGGGGTGGAAAAAGTGTTCTCTGTAAGAGTAACATTTTGTGCTTACAAAAACTGAGTGCGATAGGAATGCATTCCCATTGCTTCTAATTGGACCTTGAGGCTCGCTGACCCAAAATCAGTTTGTGTGCAAGGGTTGTCTTGCAAGATTACTTTTTGCTGCAACCTAGATTTGAGAAACAAATTGGACCTGTTTTCACAGTTACTAGGGTGATTCTAATAGCATAGTCAAAGGAATTCAAAGTGTGGTTGGGATGCTTAAACTAAGTGGTCTTGTGCACAGTGTCTTTGAGTCGGTGTCAGTATTGTACGTCTCTTGAGCAGAGCTTACAGCTTGATGCAATATGTTAATAATGTGGATTTTTCAGTTCTAAAGCAGGAAATGACCGAATGCTGGTTACTGGTTTTAGTTTCCTGTTCGAAGGGGTGCAGCTGAGCTGCTTTGTGTATGTTTCCATCTAACCTTCCATGCAGTATATGGCTTAAATGACTCTATGGCATAGAAGTGAGTTGGGAAGTCCAGTTTGTTCTTGCTTACACGTCATCCAGATTATGGTGAAAGGCGAATTTCAAAATGCCTCTCTTCTGAAATAGCTGGCTTGCTCACTCTCACCCTGAGAACACTCAGTTAGCATTGCAACTTCTCAGCTGCCTGTTCTCCCATTTACGTGGCCGGGTTAGTTCAGTGAGCTGATGAAGGTTAAAACTTCTCTTTCAGTTCAGGCTGGATCAGTTCCCTGGTCTGCCTCATAGCAGATTTAAACCATAAGATTTAGGGGTAATCTGAGTCAATATTCTGTTTATATCCATGTGTTTTTTAATAGTATTTTTAAAGTAGTGCTTTGATCCAAATCATCACTTTAAATGAACTTGGCTTATTCAGGGTCTGAGATGAGTAGTCATTGTGCTGTTGCTTATTAAACAACATCTGGAAATTTAACTTATTTAGCACTGCTTTGCCCAGTTGTAACTCTTTCCATGGATTAGTAGTGGATTTGGTTGATTAATCTGTGTGCTTAAGCCCTAAAATATGGCATATAATACTTCATGCCTAGACAGAAGTGTCTAACATAATTTGAGTAATTTTTACAGAATGACATGAATTACACTTACAGCCCTTTTTGGCTTTTCTTTCCCCCACTCCCCCCAGCAGAGTAAACCCAGAACAACTTCATTTGCCCTGAGTGCAGTTTAGGGTCAGCAGGCAGTGAACCCAGCCGTACTTAAAATCTACACATATATTTTCTTGTGTGACTGTAAAAGGGTCCCATTGCCTGTAATGCCCGTTTCGTTCATGGAAGGTGCTGCATTTCCTAGAGGAAAGGGCCCCTTTTTCAAAGCGTTTTTTTCATTTGTTGGGATTTACTTGTCAATGTGTGTAAGGCTTGGGGGGTGGGACCAACCTCAGTCCTTTATATAGAATCATTTAGGTTGGAAAAGCCCTTTAAGATCATCGAGTCCAACCGTAAACCTAACACTGCCAAGTCCACCACTAAACCATGTCCCTAAGCACCATGTCTACATGTCTTTTGAGTATCTCCAGGGATGGTGACTCAACCACTTCCTTGGGCAGCCTGCTCCAATGCTTGACAACCCTTACGGTAAAGAAATTTTTCCTAATATCCAGATCTAATCCTCCCCTGGTGCAACTTGAGGCCGTTTCCTCTTGTCCTATTGCTTGTTACTTGGGAGAAGAGACCGACCCCCACCTTGCTACAACCTCCTTTCAGGTGGTTGTAGAGCACAATAAGGTCTTCCCTCAGCCTCCTTTTCTCCAGGCTAAACAACCCCAGTTCCCTCTAGGGTGCTCTAGACCTTTCACCAGCTTTGTTGCCCTTCTTTGGAACCACTCCAGCACCTCAATGTCTTTTATGGTTACATGGACATAGCAGGGTGGAATGCCATTTTAGGTAATGAGAGTGAGCTGCCCTCAGTTCGTAGAGAGGTCATTTTAGTTTGATTATGGGAATTGGATATTAAAGACAAACTGCCTGAGAATGGAGAAAGGGAACAGAAGACTAGAACAAAGATCTCTTGCTTCGTTTGGATGAACATAATTCAGAAAAATTTATTATACAAACATGAATTGGTGAAGGGTTTGTACGTTGTCGATTAGATTTGTTGCTTATTGAAGTAAGTGGATGGACCATTACTCCAGCTTAATTCAAAAGGGCTTAAACAAGGTAAGGATTCAGAAGACAAACTGTTACCTAGTTAGAGAAGAGGCTAATATAATGAGCCTTGACACTGAGAAGTTATGAAGAATTAAGCATGGCTGCTGTCTGGGGGTGGTACTATAAAGTGACTAAATAGGGAATAACTTCAAAATGCATTAAATACTCTGAAATCTTCATTAGTGTGCAGGCAAAAGGTTTAGAGGAAGTCAATGGAACAAGGATAACTCCCACTTGCATGCTACTGTGTGGAATTGTTCATGTAGTACTGTGTGCTTCCTGAGTAATGAATAATCAAATTGAAATACTTTTAAAAAAGTAGTTTATAAAACGCAAGAATGCTATGGAATAAAAGCGCTCTAAATCCTTTTTGCAAGAGGTTGACTCATGGGGAGGAATGTCCCATTCTATTGTCTGAGATTACAGACAATATTTGTTTTACTGGAGCAACAGTGCTGCTGGCTAAGTGTTTGAGAATGTGTTGATTAGTATATCTAATTCACTTTTTTCTTTTTGTTTTAGCTAGCTGGGGTGGCCTTCCTTGCGGCTGGTCTGTGGGCATGGAGTGAAAAGGTAAGGGTAGAAATGGCTGGTCTGTCTTTGTTTGGTGGCTGCCCTCTGCTGCCTTCTCCCCCTGTAAAACTACTTCCTCGGGAAGCAGCAAAGGTTAAATGTAGCATCTGAGCTCAGGACCATGTTCAAATGATCTAAACTGAGTTTAGTAGGAGTTTCATTCTTGTCCCTGATCAGGTGTTAAGCTGTGGCCCTTGATGTTTAAATGTTTTTTGTAAACTTGTAAGAGCAGGATGCTAGGGAGAATTTAATCTTCATGAATAGTCTTTATGAACTGGTTCTCTTTTGAAAGCATGTTTTCTAAAATACACTTATCTACCCACCTCTTTTTCCTAAAAACAAGAAGCATTTGGGAGGAATGTAAAAGATATCTCTTTTTATATTTAAAAAAAAAACAAACAAAAAACCCAAACCAAACAAAAACCCAAACCACGTGTCTTTGGGACCATCTTTCTGTAGTATTCCAATCTTCAGGCCACCTGTTGTCTTCCACTTTACTCCCCGTGGAGTTGCTTAAGTGATTGTGTCTCCGTGTAGAGGAACAAAATTGGGGAACACGATCTAGCTGAATGACACTCATTTTTGGCAAAGGTTTCTTTCAGCTGAATAACTTTCTCAATCAGAGGAAGTCTGTGCGGATGTGTACCTACAGAGTTCTCCTGTTACAAGAGAAGAGACGGTATAGGTGTGGAAATGACTGGTCCACCCCCTTGTTATGAATGTGAAAGCATGGCTTTAATATGACTGCAAGCAGTAGGAAAAAGTGACAATTACTAGCAGATTTACTGATCTGCATCTTAATTAACAGTGGAGGGCAGGTGCCCTCACTGTTCAGTTGTGCTGCTGAGTAGGAATACTTCAATTACCATCGTAGTGTAACATTTCCTTAATCAGAGTGCTTATACGTACCAGCTACCCACATACAGAGAGGTTCTGGGATTCCTCCACTTCTTGGAAGTGAGAGTTTTATGATGATCTTAATGCTGAGGTATTTATTCTCCTTCTCCCAGCTCCCAATGTGCATGCACACATTCTCACAACTAGATTAGTGATATCATTGATACATAGCAAGCAGCCTATCTCCACACACAAATGCATTTACCTCCTATTCTGTTGTTACAAAAGGATTTTCTTTCCAACCCATTGGGGAGGATGTTAACCTTGTCTTGAATTTGTATTCTCTCATGTTCAGACATTATCTTCTGTTCTGTAAAGAAGCACATAGGATCTGTGTGGTTGGAAATGACTAGCTCGCAACTACCTCCATTTGTCAAATGGACCTTATGGTACACTGAAGTTACTAAAAGGCAAAGACAGACTCTTTCTGTCTTTATTTCTTAAATCTTGCCTGAACTATTTCTGCTCTCTGTCCTATCTTGCAAATAAGTGCATCAAAGCTTTTCCTGTGGTTTTGAACTTCTGAATGGCTCATGAAATCTGTACATTGTTTTTCATGTCTGTTGTTCTGTGCTATGTGGACAGTCCTTCATACTAGTGCCATTCTTCAGCCATAGTGCCTGTATGGATCTGTCTGTTTAGATAAACATCTCTGTGAACAATAGATGGGAAGTAAGAGAAAAACACTCCAGAAGCTGTGCTGCAGTGGTAAACCCAAAGATAAACTACAGGTGGTGGAAGAGTTTTGAACATCCTGTCTCTTAGTGCAACATGAAGTACATTGGGTCCTTTTGACTTCTCTGTTTCTGCTTGTCTTTTTCTTTTTCCACTAGGACTACACTTCAGATTGATTCCTCAGCAGTTTTTTTTTTTTCTGGATATAAATCCTGTGCATCTCTTCTAGCTGATAATTTATCGAAGTGAGAATGCTGGTTTGTGAGAAATGTTGAAAAAACTGTATGTAAAAATGTTACCTATCCTGATTTGCGTTACCTGTTTGAGTCAAATCCAATCTCTTTAACTGGTGTATCTAATTGGCCTATCCTTACGGTCTTATAACTGGGTTTTGTTATTCTGAACAGTCACGTAAAAGTTAAATTGCATAAAATTTTAAAAGTCTACACAATAAAAACTGGATAGATTTTAATATCTGTCACCCAAGAGATATTGCAAAAATCACTAAGAGAAAGTGAATTATAATAAACTGTTAGTAGAAGTAAGGTGAATAACACTGAGCCCTCTCATCAGGAAAAGTTTTCTATTGGTAAAACCATTTCAAGAAGGACACAAAGGAAGAGCTGGGAAACTAGAGGCTAGTCAGCCCAACTTCATTCCAGCAAGTTCACGGTTAATACCAAATGGAGAGGGAGTAGTCAGCCTTCTTCAAAGCAAGACCGTTATTTAGAGGGACTTCAAAAGCATGGAGAAATGGGTTGACAGGAACCTTATGAAAGTTTATTAAAAAAAAAAAAAAGGCAAGTGCAAAATCTTGTGCCTGAGATGGAGTAACCCCATGCATCAGCATGGGCTGGGGGTTGACTGCCTAGAAAGCAGCTTTGTAAGGAAAAAAAACCTTGAGCTCCTGTTGATCAGTAAGTTGAATATCAGGTGTGCCCTCATGTCAAGGCCAACAGCATACTGGCCTATATTGGCACCAGTGTGGCCAGTGGTTGAGGGAGGAGCTCCTTCCAACAATATTCATCACACTTGAGGCTGCATCTGGAGTACCATGTCCAGTTTTGGACTCCCCTGTGTCAGGCAGGTCTTTTCCAACCTTAATTTATTCTATGATTAAGTGTACTTATTCTTTAGTCTGCTGATCTTTGTTTGTGTTTGTACACAGAGGTATGTAAACTGCCTAAAAGTATGTGCATGAACTTGTGTTATCATCAGTGGCAGTGTGATATTGTGACAATCAACATCCAGTTTATGGAACTTCATTATAAGAAATCAACTCTGTCCTCGTCAGATGTATTTTGTAGTTTCCATACTATCATATCTCAAAACAATAACTGGTTTGGCATTTGTTAATGGGCTGTATTAGAGATTTTTTTTTTTAAAGACAATCCCTCTGTTGCCAACACGCTTCAGTTGAGATGGTGGCATAATGCTTACAAACTTCAAAAGAAAGTGGAAGACAAATTAAGCATGTACAGTTGAACTCTTAATTCACTGTTCTAAGTGACTGAAAGGGAAGACTTAAAGGCTGAGTTTTATTCTTGGATTTTTTGGCACTGACTTCAGGTATCAGACTTCATTTCTGTACACCTGTAGGAAATCCAGGTGCTGTTGTAAAGGGCAGCCTGTGCTTCAAAGAGCTCTTACCATCCTGAAGATGGCACAGGCAGAAGCATCCTTAGAGAGATGAGTAAGGTGGAATGGGGTAGTCCCCTGAATTAATTCTCTTGTTTACTTCCTTCCTTCAGGATTTTTCACTTAACATCTTTTGTTAGGTAAAAAAAACCCCACAGCCTTCTTTTCAAAAGAGAATGTTGTAAACATCAATTGTGAACATGAAGAAACTGTTGTGAACCAGCAACATCTGAGGGTGAATAATACAGCTCAGTTCCTGCCAACTTTTCTTCATAACATGCTTTGATCAGAGGAAGTTTTCTTCCAGAAGATGTTGCTTGAGCAAGTGAGATTGTCTGAAAAAAAGCTTGAGTTTGGGTGTGGGAAGGAGGTGGCTGCAAATAGTTGTCAAAGTTTCAACATCCTGGTCACATAGTATTTGGTTTCATAGTGTATTGTTTCTATAAAGACACTGAATTAGCCTAGCTAATCTTGGCGTGTCTTCCTTGATTGTGGGGTCTGAGCGAAGGTTTGATTAGATGGGACTCTCATAATTAACCCAGTAGACCAAGTTTGATAGTTAGCTGTGAGGTCTTACAGTTTGTAAGAATGGAAATATGTCACTGGTGACACTAACTAGAAAAGTCTTTGCTTCCCAAGACTTTCTGAATGCTGGGAAATCTATAAACTGTGACCACCAGGCTATTTAACTGTTGGTCACCAGCTATTGCAAGGCAATTCTGAATTCTACAGTTCAATTAATTTATTCTTTTCATCCCTTCAACCAGTTTTGGTAAAAACAACTCTATTGTCTTGCTGTTGCCAATTTAACAGCTCTAACAAGATCTGTTGTGGAACACATTATGAAAGAAGATGAACTCCTGTGTATCACTATAGTACTGTTCATCAGTGTCTTCATCAGCTGATGAAGTTTCTCCATGTGCACATTTTCTTCTAATGCTGTATTTTGAAGTCATTATTTTTGTTAAGTAAGCATTTAATTACAAAGTGATACGGATTTTTCCAAGGTATTCTCTTAGGATGTATATTCTTTGCACTTAACTCTAGCACAAATACCTGAGTAGCAAGATGAGAATTTACATTCCCTTGACAGAATTAGACTGCTTATATGAATTACGAGTCTCTCTGATATCTTTCTCTTATACTAAACTTAGCTTGAGAATATACTTTATAAAGAAAAAACCAAAAGATAGTAAACTTCTTGTTATGGGGTATTATACTGTGTTGATTTTTGTTATTTGTCTGTTTTAAAGGGAAAGTATTTCCTTATTAAAATGTTCTATGTATTGCTGATGAGTGTATGATAAACACTCAGACTATTGCAAGGCTGCCTGGATGTCCCTACAAATTGTTCTCTAACTTTAAGAGTTTCAGCTGTTTGTCCCTTCTGTCTTCTGCATGTTGCATCTTGTTCTTACACATTACATGAGAAGTTTGTGTTAAAGATACTTGATGGAATTTTAACGGTAGCTGGTATATAAACTTAATTTCTTTAAAACCTAGTCTAGAAATGATAAGGGCTTCACTGTGTTAGCATTACATTTACATAGACTTAGAAATTCTGTCCCAAGATCTAGGCAGACAGGCTTAATAGGTAAGATTATTGTCAAGATAAGTGGTGTCTCTGGAAAGTTAACAAAAGAAAATATTGCTGCTAAATTAGGCAAATTGGAGGTATGTTTTGGGGAATAGATAACTACTTTTGGTGTAAGAATTTCATCTGGGGTGAAAGGGGAATATTTAGAGTATACTTCTGTATTTTTGCAAGATTTTGGAGGAGCGTTCCTAAGACTATTCAGCACTAGAAGGGGTATAACTAAAATGTTGAGAGGAAAAATCTGCTTCCCTTGAAAACCAAAACAAGATTTTTTTCCCCTCCCTTAAAATGTCACCCATAACCTGCTTTGTAGTTAGAATGTCTCTCCCTTTCTGCCACCTAAACATTAGAATTGGAAAAATTATTTTCTTCATTTGTTTTTAAAGACTTTGAAATTGGAGGGCCCTTCTGATTGATGCATTTCAAGTCAATATAAAGCATTAATTCTTTTGCCTTGAAACTAAATGAATATTCAGTGATAGTATTGAGCTTTTGGCACCATCTTGTGGAAGCTTGTTTGGCAAATAGACCTAGGAGAATGTAATCTGAGAAGCTGACTGCACTGGATTTACTTATTAAAAGAATAGCTGTAACTTTGCATTAATACTTCCTCTGCTAGGGTGAAGAAAATCGGTATTGTCAATAACCATTTTACAACAAGACTTTTCCTTGTGGGTTGCTGTTGGCAAGCTCAAGGGTTTGCAACCAATTCATTTGGAATCATGTGGAAGTCATGGACATCCAGAAGGAATGTTAAATGAAAAACATGCTTATAATGGTCACTTTTTTCTGTTATCCTGTTTTTCTCTTTCAGGGTGTATTGTCTGATCTGACGAAGGTGACTGGTCTTCATGGTCTGGACCCAGTGGTGCTTGTCTTAGTGGTGGGAATAGTGATGTTTACTTTGGGATTTGCTGGTTGTGTAGGAGCACTGAGAGAAAACATCTGCCTTCTGAAGTTTGTAAGTAACATCATTATGTGAGTGGATTATTATGCCTGTGAAAGCTGGGAATGGTGGGTGAAGAACTAGTAGCAAACCCAGATAATTAATTTATAGAATTTGGTTTGTTACAACGTATATAGTAAACTTACTCCCCTGACGAGCCTCTGAGTAATGGTATTAAAAGCAGCGTAGGTTCAAACCTATGTGTATTCTTCCCCTTTCTGGAAAACGTTTCTTCCCTTTTTCAATCATTCTGCTATACAGTGATGTTGTTATAGTATGCATACCAGAATCTAGCATTGTGTATGTAATATCACAAAATACGATGTTCTGGAACATATTTAGTCAGTTAGGAATTACTGAGAGGAGATGGTATAGTGGCTTAGGAGAACAAAATCCCTTAAAATTTTCTTTTAAATGTTTGGTGGGCAAAACTTGAGGACTTTGGTGACTGATGTGAAATCTCTTGAACAGTTGTTTTTATACCGAGGTTTCTTCTTTGCTTTAGATCTGAAAGCAGTTAAGCTGGGCAAAAAATTACAAAACTGGAAACAATCCAAGAAGTGACATCAAGACTACTTTAGCCCTGTGTTTTGCAGATTCTTATTTATTAATACTTTCACTGTTGTGCACAATGACTGTGGTATGGTGCTCATTTTACTGTCAAGTTCAGGTGACCAAAACAAAAAGATAACTCCACCTTTTGGGGGTTTCTTTACATTGTATTCTCATTTAACAGGCTGTGTTCTCATGGTATCTGTACTGAGTGAGAATTTTAACCTAATTCTCTGTGTCTGTTTCTGGTGGAGTTGGAGTAGGGATGCATTCAAAATCAATGGATATTTTCTAATTTGGGACTCTTTTTTTTAATAGTTCTGTGGAGCAATTGTGTTTATATTCCTGCTGGAGCTGGCAGTGGCAGTTCTGGCTTTCCTGTTCCAGGACTGGGTGAGGGACAGGGTCAAGGAATTCTTTGAGAATAACATTAAATCCTACCGAGACGATATTGACCTCCAGAACCTCATTGATTCGCTACAGAAAATTGTAAGTTGATATCCTGTCACTTCTTTCATGCGTTCTAGGAGCATATGTAGATTTGGAAGTTTTCCTTTTTGTTACAGATTTATCATATTCTGTAGCTAATGCTGCTGTGTTACAGATGTGCTGTTTTGCTCTTTCTGCATTGAAAGCATCAGGGAGGCAAGCTGTTCTGAAATACAGTGCTGTTCTAACTGCGAATGTGGAAGCTCTGCCAAGCATCCATCTGCCTTTTGACTATCTTGACTTGCTCCCCTGTTTTGATCAGTGTTGCCCCAGTTTAAGTGAGAAGTGAGCAACAAAAAAACTTTTTATCCCGAAAAAACTGTGCAATGGAACTGGTAGTCCACACTCTTATTTTAGGAAGCACTGCAGTCTTGTACAGGGATGCAGCACAGGGCCTTTTGTTTTCTGAGATGCACCTCATCTTGAAGCAAAAGAGGATTTTTGTTAACTGAGGAAGGCTAGTCTCTAGTCAGGCAGTTGTCAAGGAAGGTTGAAACAATTCTACGCTCCTGTGGTCCTACAATGTTCCATTACCAGAAGACAGTGACGTACACCAGGAGTTGACAAGGCCCATGCTAGTAAGAGCCTGGTGGCTTTCATTCAGTCAGCTGCTTTTGTAATCATGCCCAGGAAACAACCAGTGAGGGTGACTCTTCCAATGTTTGTTTATTTATCTGGGGAAGAGTGGCTGGAAAGCTGCCTGTCGGAAAAGGACCTGGGGATGCTGGTTGACAGTCAGCTGAACATAAGCTGTCAGTGTGCCCAGGTGGCCAAGAAGGCCAATGGCATCCTGGTCTGTATCAGAAATAGTGTGGCCAGCAGGAGTAGGGAAGTGATCGTCCCCCTGTACTCGGCACTGGTGAGGCCGCGCCTCGAATACTGTGTTCAGTTTTGGGCCCCTCACTACAAGAAGGACGTTGAGGTGCTGGAGCGTGTCCAGAGAAGGGCAACGAGGCTGGTGAAGGGTCTGGAGAACAAGTCTTATGAGGAGCGGCTGAGGGAACTGGGGTTGTTTAGCCTGGAGAGAGGTGGGGGTCGGTCTCTTCTCCCAAGGAACAAGCGATAGGATGAGAGGAAATGGCCTCAAGTTGCGCCAGGGGAGGTTTAGATTGGACATGAGGAAAAATGTCTTTACTGAAAGAGTGGTTAAACATTGGACCAGGCTGCCCAGGGAAGTGGTGGAGTCACCATCCCTGGAAGTATTTAAAAGACGTGTAGATGAGGCGCTTAGGGACATGGTTTAGTGGGCATGGTGGTGTTGGGTTGACGGTTTGACTCGATCTTAGAGGTCTTTTCCAACCTTAATGATTCTATTTGTGTGTGGTTAAAAAAACATATATAGAGAGAAACAAAGTACATATGCGAGTACTTCATGAAGAGGTAAAATGGTTGTCTCCTTTATATATTTTTTTTTCCCCCTTATTAAAATGGTTGTCTCCTTTATATATTTTTTCCCCCTTACGAAAGAATGTTGGTTTTGTCTGTCTTCCATCTTCTAGAAGATCATGTCTAGAAATCTGTGCTCACAGCTCAGTTTGATAGCAAAGCACGTTTGGTCAGCTGTATATTACCAGCAGCACCTATCCTGTTCATTCACTCTTGTGTGCATTGATACGGAAGCATCCTCTGACTAGGCTGCCTGGGTGGATTTCAGTGCTGTTTTGCTTTAGCTTTCGGTGCTAAGGGCACCTTTTTGTAAGGTAGGGCTCCTCCTGGCCATGACCAACACCAGTAATTGTCTCAGTGTTGTCTGCTCTGTTGTTGCTCTTTCTGTTTATCTAGTTTCAGTGGAGTCAGCCAGGCTAATATGCTAAGCTGATTTACAGTTGAACTCCAGTTAAATACTTTTCAATGAAAATAAAAGGCTGAGCTTACTAAAAGGAGTTCACTAGCCAGATTAACAAGCTAATAAACCTGAAAAAGGAAAGACCAGAAGAATCTCTGAATCGGCCTGTCGTTGATCCATACCTGAAAGTACTGAGGAAGGAGGGGAAGTATGCAATGCGGATTAGCAAGCGTAGTTCTGCAGGGGTTGAACAACAAGGTGCAGCAGTGTGTTCAAATGCCTCACTGAAACCCATCTTCTAAGGAGCCATGCTCTTTAGGCTGACTTGCTGTGTTCTCAGTGTGTGCCTTGGGACCCAGAGAGCTTTTTGTAGGCAGCTCCTGCTCTGGCTAATTATATTATTTTCAGGCTTGTAAGTGACCTCGTAGTCTGTACCTTACTAAGGTAGATTAGCATGTTTAGTGGCTGTATGGCTTTTTACAAAGGCGTAGATGTGTGAGGGAGGAGGGACTAGAAAGACAGAAATGCACCTCTTTTGCTTTCTTCATGGTAAATGTATTAGTGACTTAAAATAATTTTTTCTTGGTGCTTTTTCTATTCTGACCATTCCGTTCAGCTCTCTTTAGTTATATTTCCTGTGAAAACTGTGTAAACAATTCTGCTGTCTGTTTGCATCTGTGAGTGACTTAAAATAATTTTTTCTTGGTGCTTTTTCTGTTCTGACCATTCCGTTCAGCTCTTTTTAGTTATATTTCCTGTGTAAACAATTCTGCTGTCTGTTCGCATCTGTGTCTGTCACAACTTGATAACTTCTGAATTCATTTACTGACTTCAAGTCTTGGTGGTCTCACAGACAGTTAGGTTAACACAAGTTTTGTGAAGACAGGCAGCGGGCAGAGGAGAGATGCTAGAGATATCCCAAGAGGATGGAATTTCATGAGGTACCAGGAAAATCTGTGTGATGGTATAACGTTTCGAGTACTCAAATTATAGAGAAAGATTTGTGCCATTAAATATATAGGCCAGTAAACTGCAAAGCATAACTTAATAAAAAACTAGCTTCCATTAGTTCCAGGAATTAAACATTCCTTGAAATGTTGGGATTTTCCCAACCTGCAAGTATGGTAATTACATTACACTGTTCAGGTCAAGAAACTTATGTGAAATACTTGTCGAGTTGACTGACCTTTGAGCTAGTGAGACTTTACCAGTTAATCCATTTAGATATGAAAACCTCATTTAAAGGAAAGGAATTATATTCACAAATGTTTGGATCCACTTTTTACAATAAACAAGGAGAAGAAAACTTGTTGATTCATGAAGATTTAAGGATGGAGTCACAAACTTAAAGAAATATTTTTCATAGTATTTCTGGTTTTGGTTGACTTGGAAATAATGGGGTACAAAGCATTTGTATGAACTTACTTTGTTGCACCATTTATGGTTGTACACTGATTGCATCTAGCAATTGCATCTAAAGTGATAATTTTCATGATTTTGCTTGTCACGCTGACACCTATTTCCAGGAGCAGTATGCCAAATGTATTGCTTTGATTTCATAGAGCCGCAGTATTGATTACTCTTTTTTTTTACTCTGATGTTGCCATTGATATTGCACAGCCTTAGAGAAAGTGAAGATGATAAACAAATATCATTCCAGAGAGTTCGTTCAATTGTCTCTAAAATACCCCCAAATGCTAAGTGTTTGTTTATCTGTTGCAGAACCATTGCTGTGGTGCCCAAGGTCCAGATGACTGGGACTTCAACATATACTTTAACTGCAGCAGTGAAAGCAAAAGTCGTGAGAAGTGCGGCGTTCCTTTTTCCTGTTGTATATCTGATCCTGCCGTAAGTTGTTTCCTGGCTTTGTATTGCTTTGATGTTGTTGGAGAGTTATGAAAGGAAGCAGTTCCTGAATACGGTGTGATGGCTAGGGCTTTAAAAGGTCTTCTAAATGATCAAAAATTACTCTTGCGCAGACAAACTCTTTTCATGTTTCTGTTCCATCCTTTTCAAAGTCCAAACGTGGCAACCTGTTATACAGCTGAAAACTTATTGTCACCAGGAATTCAAGCTGTTTTTGTATGGCTTGAGTCTGCGAGTATTGATGGCTGATATTTTTTTTTATTCCCAATGCGTTGTTTCCTTGAATCCCTGGCTGCTATTATCTAGCTTGTAAGGACCTGAGAGCACTGTCTAAGCAGTGTGTTTGCCCCAGTTAGGATTAATGTTACACCACCCCTCTGCCAGACAAGTAGGAGTAACTCCATTTGCTGATTGTTTATCAGCAACTAGTAAAGTGTTCGTGCACAAACTCAGTTTGAAGCATTTGAGTCAATTCTCTGGCTTTGGCAAGATTTAGGTGCGTATTGGTTTGATCTGTTTAGTAAACTTTAGGAATCTGACCCTTTCAGTGGAAGCCAAAATGTGGAGGTAGGAACTAACGTATAATGCATTATAGTATTAGTGGGAATAGTTACAGCTCAAAGTCAGTCCAGCAGTCCTCGTGCGGAGCAGATGGCCGTTGGTAGGTTATACTAATGCTTTCGATTGCCTTGGAAATCAGCCAGGGAAAGACTTTGTCAGAGAAATATTCCATGTTTGGATTCCATGGTAATTATTTTCGACTTTAATTTGGAGCAGTACTATTCCACTGCAACTTTTTCTGTTGCTGGTGCTGTATTTAAGGAGACATAAGTAAGGTTAAATCTTTTTAATATGAGATTCTACTTCTAATATTTCAATATAACTCACTATGCATTGTGTAAACTATGCTATAATTGTGTAATGGATACGTTTTCATAAGTCTCATACAGAGAAAACAAAAAATGTCTTAAAAGGACTGTCTTTGCATTTTTGGAGATAAATATTGTCATTGGGTGGTGTGGGGTTGTGATCTGGAAGGTGTTTATGATCTTCCTACTTGGGATCTGCAACTGGAGTGTTTTGTCTTCAAGACTAGGTATATCTTGGAGCTGGGTTATGTGTGAGACTTTGAACTGTCAACTCAGGGGGCTCAAGTAGCTTGCAGCTGTTTCTTGTTTAACTGATTGAGATAGCAAGTTGTATACCACTTGAAATGATGGAGTTGTAAGGCATGTTTCTCCACTGCAGGTGTAGATTAATCAGCCTGGTACCTTTATTGTTACCTCAGTGTTTAGGTGTTATATGAAATAGCTAACATGAAACTGATCTTGGAAATGCAGATGTCTTATCTCTATGCTGGCAGTACAGTTGCTATGCTTTATGTTAAAAATTTCTTGCTAGTTGAAAGCCAAGCGATAGAAGAAGCTGGCATTTCTGGTGGAGGATGTTTTCCTGCTAGTATACACCTCTGCTTTGTCGTTACTTCTCTCGTGTTCTGCTAGTGCTTTGCTCATTTTTTACTAAAAATGCTTCTTAAAATGGTTGGCTCCGACAGTCCTGATTTGTTTGTCTGCGAATCTAAAAGACAGCAAAACTTCCTGTGAACAGAAGTGAGTAGAATTCAATTGATTTATTTTAAATCTTTTTTGCTTTGCAGCAAAAAGTTGTGAATACACAGTGTGGCTATGATGTCAGAAAGAAGGTAAGGTGCTGGGATCTTGCTGTCTGTCATGTTCTGTGCCTGTATAGGCAAAACTACAAAAATGGTGGAATTTCTGAGAGAGATGTCAGCTTAAAATTCTGGGAAACAATCGACTGTGCTACATCATACTACAAGTCGAGTGTGGTAGAGATTTTCCTTTGTTTAAAGTAAACTTGTACCGTGGGAGGGTGGAGAAAACGAGTGATGGAACAGGTAAAAGAAAAGGTGTGTTTCAAAAAGGGGTAGGACATGCATTTCAAATGTGCATTTCAATTATTAGTTCTAATAGTCTAACTCTGAATTCTATTATCTACTAATTCTAAAGTATTCTAGTAACAGGATTTGCTGGAAGATACTAACATCTATGTCCGACATTCCCTGATTTAATATGGGCATATATGTATTTCTGGAGTCTGGTTAAAAACATACTGCATAAGTGACAAATCATTAGTTTAGCTATATCATGTGATTGACTGATCTTATAATAAACTTGAGCAGAAAAGTAATATTCTTATTCTTCCTCTCTACATTTCAGAGCAAGAGGCAATGGCACGATCAGATTTTTGTCAGAGGATGTATCCTTGCTCTTGAAGCGTGGTTACCCAGAAATATCTACATTGTTGCAGGTGTCTTCATAGCTATCTCGCTGCTCCAGGTTAGTTTTTTGTTACGCTACTTTGAAAAAAATTTCAAGTTTGCAGATACAGACCTGCTGAAGGTAAGAGTAGTTATGGAGAGAGGTACAGTAAATGTTTTGACACAGTGCTTTTTTTTTTAGGTATGAGAATAACATGGCAAAAAAAAAATATATAGGGATTGGGGCTTAGAGTGAAAATATCCGATATCAACTAATTTAATTCTGTCGAAATTATGTTCCTCAAAGCAATGAAGGTCATTATAAAAATACAATTATAATACATATAGTATATGATGATTGTGATGTATACTGCTATAGATCAATACAGCAATATGCTAATATATGACTATTTTATATAATAATGTGATAAAATAATATATTTCTTACATTTCAATATGCTGTGAGGGAGGGGAGATCTTCTGGTCATCTACTCCACTGGATCTGAACTACAGCATTCTAGCACAAACGTGAAATCACTGAAATACAATTCTGTCCTTCATGCTAAGATTACCACTCAGCTGGCTGTAAGTGATGTGTAGCACACTGCTCAAAAAAAGTTGAGAACGGAAGAGCAGGGAAACAGGTGAACAGGTTGCAAATGTGATATTAGCAGAACCAGATGAAGGAGTTGCTGGGACTTCTTCCAGTACCTTGTTGGTGCTTTGGTACATCAAAGAAAAAGAACCAAAATTCTCAGTAAGACATATCAGATTGCTTCTTTCAAGGTGGATCCCGCTTTCATTGTGGCAGTTGTTTATACTTACCTAAATTTCTTTGCTATGGTACTGCTTCACTTCAGTGGGAAACAAATTTTACTACAGAACGTATTTTCCATTTAACTGAAAATAGTTGAGCATAGAGTGCTGGCAAAATACCTTTTTCCAGCCATGGCAATACTGCCCTCTTGCTTGGGTTTTGATATTTTATCACCATCTAATGCTAGTGCTTCATGGCTTTGAGAGATGCTGTCCTGAGGACAACACCTTCAGTTAGGAAGATGTTCAAGATGTGAAGTCTAATCTTTTGGCAGTGTGTCAACTGACAATAACTTGATGTTGTTCTTATTCATGTCCTGAGTCTCTGTGAAACCACTTTCCCAGTCACTGGTATTTTCAGATTGGGTCTTTCTTGTGCATTAAACTATTTCATGGTGGGACTTGAGAGTTAGACAGGTTATGTCTACTTCTAAAACAAATCTTTTGGCTTTTCCAAAACTTCATCCCAGTCTTTTGTTGTTTTTCTGAGAATGTTTAAGGAAATGTGCTGAGTTAGGAATTCATCTTCAATTTGTAAAGGAAGATGTCCCCGAGAACTCGAGTGAACGTTAAAATTTCAAATTTACATGTCTCAGAATAATCTGGGACTTTCCTACTACCGTTTGTGACAAGAATTTCATTTTAGTACAGGTAATAGTACATTCTGTATGTATTTTAAAAAAAAGATCAGAAAATTGACTGGATTACCCAAAGTTGTGGAATGAATGAAAATGTCTGATTTGTAAGTTTACCAATAGGTAAGTGTGAGCGTTACAAGACTCAAGTAAACTTGGCTGAGAAGATTTCTTCCAGCTCTAGGGCATCTAGAAGCTTATTATCTTGAATGCTCCTGAAGTGTTACATGAAAGCATCTTTTTTCTCATGCATTTTATTTCCTGCAAGATTCTGCTGCTTTTATTACTTTTTAGTAATAGCCATGCTTTGACAGATGATCCTGGCTATGAAATGGTATCTGAACCTGCAAACGCTTTATGAATGCATATCTTTATTCACAAGAGTAGTTGTACTGACATCGGTACAGTGTGATAGAAACACATAAGAAGTAGGTTCCCATTCTGCAATAATGACTAATGGTAATAGGCTCTAATTTTTAGAAGCATCTTGCAGACTGGTACATTACAAGTGTTTCATCTCACAAATGGTTTGTTTTTTTGTCTCTTTAGATTTTTGGGATTTTCCTAGCCAGGACATTGATTTCTGATATTGAAGCTGTAAAGGCAGGTAATGCCTTCTGAATATAAAAGCAGAAACGTGTTGCAAAAAAGTATATTTTACGGTTATTGGTCGGACACCAAGGTGGAAGAAATGCACGGACCATGAAATACTCCTGTTATTAAAAGCCTTATGTGGATTTTACCCCGCTCACGCTTTTTGTTAGAAGCTGGTACAAAAAATTCTCCAAACACACACCTGTCTACCTTTTTTCTAATGAGACAACTCTGCACCAGCATTGATCTCTGAGCAAGAAATGGCATTTCCCAAGACATTGGCGGAACAAATTTTAAAGATTGTAGCAAGGAGACATGAAACTGCTGTAAACACTTTCCTTGAAGGATTACCATGAAGATTGTTCTGTTTTCACTCCCAACTGTCATCAATCTCAAAACATAATCATTTCAGAAGGCGTGCTGATTTCTTCAGAATCTTGAAATTGGTTTAATCTCTACAGTAGACTCATGCAGTCATTTTTTGGCAAGATACCCAGCAACCATAATAGTCATGGTATTGGAAATTGGAAAAAAAACCAGTCACAAATTGTCTAGTTCTTTAATTGTTTTTCAGTTGTGCAGAAGTAGGCCTATTTCTGTTTGACTGGGAATAACGTAGATGTCTCGGGAGCAGGAACTTGTGCTCAGCATCAGAGTTTGAGTAACCCATGCTGTTTTGAAAACACAGGCCTTTTCTCAAGAGGGGAAAAATCTGACTATCTGTAGCATTATATGTTAGCAATCTGCATTGCAGGCAAGGGGGTGTGAATCCCCGATGCTGTTTCCTGTCTGAAAAAAATGTAAATATTCTTTATTTATAGAAGAAAAACCACTTAAAATGCTTAGCTTTTCATTGATCAGTAATATCTTTAAAAAGCGCTGTCTGCAGAAATTTCAAAATGCAGCTTGTTTCAGTAGGTAGCAAGCATGCTATGCTAGCTGTTGATGGCTTTTGCCTTTCCTCTGGTTTCTCTCACAACTGCTATATTGATCTTCACAAGTCCAAACTGCTAATACCAGGACTGATGAAGAACATTTAAATTCAGCATTGATCCCTACTGAAATCTGTTCTTTAATGAGGAAATACACATTTAGTGAAAGATTAGAGTTGTTGAATTTTTAAATCTTCTGTAAAGCTATTGAATCATCAGTTCTGCTTGTATTCTCATACGTAGTTCAAATGCCAGTCACAATATGGTGAACCAGAACGATTTCTTCAGAGTAATTTTCTGCATCGAACTGAACTACTCCTGCTGAAGTCAAATTTTTTTTATTTTTATCAGAAGAAAACTAAACTCTCTTCTTCCCATCCTCCCTTCTTGGGGGTTCAGTAGATGGATCTGTAGCTCAGTAAGAGTCCAGTCTTCTCTAAAAGACTTCGGCATAGTATTTTTAACTTTAAGGTAAAGTATGTGACTGGAAAAGTTCTCGAAATAGCTGTAGCTGTCAGTTTTACTGTGGGCCATATAATTAACATTGTTTACTGCTTCCAGTGACACCAATTTTTTCAGGGAGAGCAGGTTTATTTACAGTGCCTAACATAGTGTAAATTTTAGAAAAGTATATATTTTTATAATATTTTACTACATGTAGTCTGCCTGAAGGATTTAGTACTTGTCTTTCCAAAGTATATGGCTTTTTTAGGAAGCCAAACTTTTAAATATCTCTCTAATGTCCTTTTTTTCTATTATGCATGTATTAACGAACATTTCACTGGCAAAAGCTGATCAACAGTATGAATCTTTGTGTCTGTATTGATTGTCCAGACATCCTTCTAGCTTTTAATCTGTGAAGCACTTCACAGACAATGCTGTACTTCTCATGTGTACTTCAGTTCAGCTTTCATAGTTCTTTTTCTGGCCAGCGATTAAGACACAACAGGAAAAGGAAGCTTGTCTCAGGATGGCTGATTTCCTTACAGTAGCAGAGAACAGTCTGCTATTACTCATCTGAAAAACCTGAAAGTAAAATCGCTGGAAGTGCACTGTAATTTTTTTTGTTTTGTTTAGCTTTGAAATACAACAAGAAAACAATAGCAGTAGATCACTGAGGGGAGAGCAAGAGGCATTTCTTCTGTAGAGCCTTGAATTTGAGGTCTGTATTACTTATTTGTTGAATCTAGTCCCTTAGGAGCAGCCAAAAATTTGCTGCTGTTACTGCTACTTTGCAAGCAGCAAAGCAGTGTCCAGCAACCTTTGCTTTAAACTCTGGTGCTTGAAACTTTACAACACCTCATCAACCAGCTTACTCTGTTAAGGTTATGTGTGGTAATCTAATGTATGTAAAATTGGAGAAGGATGCTTTCTATTTGTAACTTTTTATTCGTAAGACATTGCATTGAAAATTGCATCTAGGGAGTACGTTTCCCTTTGCCACGTTTTGACACAGAAAGCTCCTAATGCTGGGAAGTAATTTCAGCAGTTGGTGAACATCATCACGGTGTCAAAGATACCTGTGGAGTTCATGCACCGAAATTAGCTGCCGACAAGAGCCAAGTGTCATGGATCAGGATTCCAGTGTCTGCAAGTCTTGCCAAGTTGCCTGAAGACAAATGAATACTTGGTTTCCTTTTGAAGTACTGTTTGTGTGCAAAACAGAATTTGATTGAAGTGTTGTCTTTCCTCAGTTTGTTCTTACTGGCTTTGGCCATATTAACACCAGCTTTGTATCGATGCTCCAGTTATCTGGAACTGAATTCAAGAGAGCAAGTTCAATCTATTTGAGGATCTTTAAATTCATGGAGTGGTTTGTTTTCACTGTGGATAAACTTCTTTGTGCTTCTTCAGTATCACTTATAAAACCCTGGGGCTCTAGGCTGGTTTACCCCTAGACATTTTGAAATGCACCCCCATTGGTGGTACACATGACTAATGTAATTTCAGACTTGGAAGGGGAATACTTTCTTACCACTTTCTACTTAGTTATATTTAGCACCTTCTCTTGAGGACCTGCAGTGGCGTCATGGCTGAAGATTTAGGTTATGGTTTAAAAAAGTCCTGTCAGCAAAAGCAGTTGGGTGTGAGCCTGCTTCTAAAGCCTTGAAGGAGAAGCAATTCAATGATCTCAAAGAGGTTTGATAAATTGTTGATGTTGAGATTTCACTGGTTGCATTTGGAACAACTCCACAAACACTACAATGGAAACAAGGTTTTTAATGAAGATGTCAAATACGAGATCAGACTTGAATAACTGGACTGAGAGAAGGAAACTTTTCAGTGTGATCGCTTTTATTTCTCAGAAATGAGCACAATTTATTTCTGTGAAGTAATGTATTTATTTGTCAGTATGTTTGACAGTGCAACTGCCCTTTTCTTTCTATTAATATACCTGCATTTGGACACAGTTTCCCTGTATGCGAAGAGGAGGATGAATATAAGCACTGGAAAAAAGTGCAGTGACCAAAGGAGCTTCGGTCACCTCCTGAAAACCTGAATACTTCTTCCCAAGGGGTCTTTAGTTTTGGTGACCTTCATACAGTGCCATGTGGATAGACTTGCACCTCCAGTCCATTGAGGTCGATGTGGCAATTGGCTTACACATAGAATTGCCTTGTGTTTGTCTCCCCATTCCATCCTTTCCTCTTCCTTCCCCCTGCTGCCTGTGGGTTATTATGCAGCTTGAACGTTGTTTAGCCAGTGGAAGGGGAGGTTCTGTCTCTTCTTCCGAGATGGCTTTTCTCAGTGACTTTCAGTATATTTTTTTTCTCAAGCCTTAAATTTGATTAAATAAAATTTAATGTTTTGTACTTCTGCAGTTTGATTTCTAAGATTTGCTGTTTCCAATCACTAGTGTTTCCCTCTCTAAGGTTTAGTCTGGCTGCTGAGACTGCAATTTGTGGATTGTGGATTCTGTAAATTTACCATTTACAGAAATGGTAAAGGTCCGCTGGTGTTAGTGTGTATATTTTGCTGAAACTAATTCTTGATTTTTTTTCAGTCTGGGCTGCTGAATAATAGATAACACTGGTGCTTTTCTCCCCACTGTTAATGGAAAGCCGTGAACAAGTGAAGAGCTGCGGAATGGTGTAGAGAAATTATTAAATCTCTGGACACCCAGGAAGTTAAAACTGCTGTTTGCACTTTGACTGCCATTGTCCACAGTTACTGCTCTTGTGGTTTGCACAGTCTATGGTTTGTCATGTCTGAGCAATGTTCCTGAAACTACTCTTAAGAGTGCAGAAGGGAAGTAACTTCCAGGTTTGAAGATGAGGCTTGCAGAAATAGGTTTGTGTCTGCTTCTTTGACCATTTTAACGTTTCTTTGATGCATTAAAACCTGATTTTAGTTTTAATAAGGTCAGAGAAACGTTCAACCAATAGATAATGGCTATATTAGAATAATGCAATATCTGGAATTAGATACTCTAGAATGTTAAGGCTGGATCATTTCTAATAAGAATGACTTGAATGCAGCTATTTGGGGGGGGGTGTGTGTGTACATAGAACTTGTATGAGACATATCAGGATCTATTACTAATGCCTGGTTTAGGCACAACCCCAGATCTTACTCTGAAGTTGCAGTTGTCTGAAGCTATTTCTCATTTTGACATTGGAAATGTATAGGATGCCCATATCACTGTGTGCTTTAAGCTAGAGGAAACTGCACATGGTTCAGCTCTTGTTTTTCTTTTCTCCTACTATGTGGTCAAAACCTGCTTGTGTGTTACTCACCAAGTGACTTGTCTGGGGTGGTTTTATGAAATTCCCTTTCTCAAGAGTACTCCTGAAAATGATATTTGGTGGCGAATGTGGTGGGCTAAATAGTGTTAACAAGTTTTGCAAGTGGGAAAGCTTTTGCAGGAACAAAATTGTAATGTTTGTTCACAGACTTAAGCCAGTTATACTCAAATTATTTAGAACAGGCAGCCTTGTTGACTTTTAAATATTCCCTGCTTTATAACGGTTTTTTTAAAGGTCAGTACTTTTCTATTTTTTTTCCTCAATAACTTTTACTGCTGGCTAAAAAAAGTAATTGTTCCCTAGCTCTTCAGTATCTACCACTATAGGGTTTTGAATTTGATCTCCTAGGTCTTGGCAACGTGACTCTGCAACATACTTGCAACTGCTTCAAAAAGTTCCCATAAGGACAAGTTGTGAAATAGATCCTCTTCTTACCTTTTTTTATCAAGTGATCATTTTTAAATATGAAAGGCTTCTGTAGAAATGTTCAGAGACATTTGTTTTACTATTTTTCATTATCTAAAGTTAAACCCAGGCTCTCTTACTGGAAATAATTTAATGAAATGCCAGCTGCCTCCAAATCTTCACACGTGCCCACTTGTAATTTCTAACTAGCTTTAATTTGTATCTTGTCCAAGCACTGTATGGACATTGACTGCAGTTTCTTGTAAACTTTGCTTCTACTGAGTCTCATTCCAGGTTACAATAGCTGCAACTCTGAAATTAGGACAAGACCATGACCTCAGATACTTAGGAATATGGCTTGTGACACTAGCAGGTAGAAACTCAGAGATGAGCTTTAAAATTGGAAATTGAAGGGGGAGTTGGTTTAAAGGTACAGTTTTGTGGCGGTTTTAACATGTTCAGTTAACAGCTGGGCTCACAGGTTGATTCACAATGTGCAGAGGTTGAATCGGTGCCAATTAGCCCTTTGCATTGTTTAAGCTACAGCTCTCATCTAATCTAAAACCCCATTGTTTCAGGTTGCATGATATTTTAAATGATTTTAAAGTCCCATTGATACAAAAAAAAGTTGCAAGTGATATCCTGACTTGACAAAACCAAGCAGCTTAAAAATGTATTACAGAAGTGGTAATTGCCTGATGCTTCTCATGTGACGTTTTCTAAGACCACTTGCTTGACAGGCCTTATTCCTACTGCTGTGTGTTAGTAGCTCCGTGAAGAGCAGCAGTGATGTGAGTATCTGTTGGCCAAATAGATGAGCAAATGAGTATTTTTTTTTGTATGTACAGCTTTAAAAGCAGGAGCTGTACCTGGGTTTTAGTAGTGTTGGTTATGCGGCAGCATGACAAATGCAAGGTAAGGTTGGTAAAGCTGGCGTTTTATTGCATTTGCCTCAGCAGCAGTGCAGGGTTGCTATTGGGGAAGAAGGGAGGCTAGTGCGGTGTCTCTCCTCTCAAAACTTGTAATGTTGTGACAGCTTCCTTGACAACATTTGCATTGCTGTGACTGCAGAGTTGTTCGAGGGTTTCTTTAATCTTGTCCTCTTCTATTTCTTGTCTCAGATCGCCTGAATGGGACACGAAATGCTGACTTTTAGTGACATGCCATGGCATAGTGGCTCCCAACAATTGTTGTAAAGTTTGGAGTACTTGCTGTTTAAAATGAGCTGCTTTAATTTGAATAAATTTCTCTCAATAGATACCCTTTCAGCCATTGAAAGTATTGAACAGGTTAAGATTTTTTTTCTCCTGTTTGACTTCCAAGAACTGATTGAACAGAAGAAAAGCATTCTGTTGAAAATGTAATACAGGACAAGTTCCAGCATTTTTTTGCCTGTATGCTTTTTGTTAGCCTTTCATATTAGTAAGACTTAACTCTCAGTGTTACGGTTAGTCTATAAAGTGCTAAGTATATACACCTCTGGAAAAAAGTCTTATAGATCACATCTGTTGTGTCAATACTCCATAGTAGCACTGCAGGATGCAAATGCTTAGCCCTAGTCCAACATCTGTGTGGCTACAGGGAAAAAATGGAGTATACTGCAAAATCCAGCTTGTCTGCCGATATGGGGTGGCTCCAGGATTTGAAAGGCAGCTCCCCTTTGTGGCAGATTCTTGCCTGAGCACAGTCGTTACTTTCAATTTACATGATTTATGTATTAAGATGTGAGAAACTGGCATGAGATCTTTGGACTCCTGGTTTCAAGGTGGTTGTTTTCAGTTAGTGCCACACATCCAGGATGAGTCTGATCTTGCTCGAAGCATTTTAAGTCTTCCCTAACCATGGAGCGAGAGAAACTGAAATCATATCCTTCATGTGTTTTACTAAAAGTTGCTGTGCAAAGGCAGCATTGCTAAAATTGCTGTTTTATCTCAGCTTCTGGTTTGCTTACAGCATAGGCAGAACAAATGTATGCCTGCCTGTGGAAGATGATACAGACTCTCTATGTCCTTGAACACAAAAATGCTGTGGTACATACAGGACGTGGGACTGCCAGACATTTGTGCGTGGTGAATTTGGACAAAGATGTCTTTATTCCAAGGCTCTAATTTTGCTATTTCAGGACTTGATTATGCCACTGACTCACTGGAATAAAGCCTTTCTTTTTTTTTATTCAACTGATGGTTTAATCAACTTTTCATAAAGAAAGAAGCTACTTGACTGGGATTTTTGGTGATCAATAAAGAATGAACCTCTTTAATATCCTTTACTACTTACTGACTGCAACATCGCAAGCAGCACATTTCAGTAACAGAAAACACTTGTGTTTTCATCACAAATATCCATCCTTTCATCACAGACAACTTAAAATGAAGTTACCTGAATTAAGAAGACTGCACAAAAGACCTATTGAATTATATTTCACCTCAGGACTGGTATTATCATCTTGTAGAATTTTGTGTAAGCTTTGAACTAGCTGTGATTCCTTAAAAGATTCTTCAAGAGTTCCTGAAAAATAAACAAATACTTGAGCTGTTACCTGAAAAGAAGCTAGAGAGTGAACATGCTTGCTTTTTAAAAATAAAATTCCTGACTGGCTTCATTTCAAATTGGCTATGCACGGATGTCTTGGGCATCTGTTTTCTGTACTGGAGAATTTCTGTATTATTTTCTGTACAGTGTTTCTTCAGTGGCCTCATTCTGGAAGATAGAACCTGTATACTATAGATTGTAAAAAATAACCTCATAAGAGACTAAAATTTGCAATGATCAGTGCTAGAAATGCTGATTCACGTTAGTTGTCCGATTGAGTTTGAGCGCCTTAATGTGGTAGACCAAGCAGTAAAATGGGCTTTTTACTGTCTTGCTTGTTGGTATAGGAAATTCCAAATTTCAAGTTGACTATTTCTTTTCAATTTATCTTTTGATGTATGTAAATTTCTGTGGTGACTGTCTTTATTGTAATAAATTGAGACCCATTTTTCAAATGTGATCAGTCATACAGGAAAAATCTGAAAAAAAATTATACCCAATCTCTCTGAAAATAGCTCAGTAAAAGTAGGTAGAACCTTTATAGTTTTCTCACTTGTTTTGTTTGCAGCTTCTACAAGGCCCTTTTGTCTATGCTTCTGCTTTATTCTCTCCTGCATTCAAATGTGTGTCTTCTGAAGATTATTTCCTCCCTTTATAGTCTTCATTGACTATTCAAGTCCATAATTTGTCCTTAATTTTGTCTTTCTCATCTTTTTCTCTAGTCTTCATCACCTTCACTTTGCTTCTGTTTTTTTGTGTAGGTTTCTAGCATCATACCATGCTACTCAACAGATTGTGCCTGTCCAGACAACCTAATCATTTGACTCTACCCTAAACCAAAAAATCTTCAGGCAATTCTTGAAGCCTATTGCTTTTGTGATATTCTGGATGGCTGACCTCCTTTATTTCATGCCAAAGAGCTAAATCTAGACAAGAAACATGCTTTTTCTTACATGTTATATAGAACTAACAGCATGACAATGTTTCTTGGTAATTGGGGATCTTGCACAGATAAATGCTTTTAGGAGAAAAATACCTAAATCGATTGTAGATGCTATTGCCAAGGCATTCAGAGCCTCATTCTGCATGGCAGCATGTTCGCTTGTCGTCATGGAAACCAGATGCTTCACTCCTTGTGCCTCCTGGATGGCTTTGACCACTTCCTGTTAAAGCAAAGGTAAAATATCACAGATGGAAATCTGACTTACGAATAAAGCAGAATGAAGAGAAAAATGAGATTTTACTCTTCAGCCTCTGAATAGATGGAAATGACTTGCCTGCTGCAATGCAAACTGATGATATTTGAAGACTAGAGATAACATTTCTTTTGGCACTGATCATGTCTGCTTAAGGCTGGTCTAATTTACTTGGAATATCAATACTTACAATTATATATATATGCATATCTATAAGATAAAAACATGTATTTTGTCTCAAGAGTTTTAGTTTGACCTGATTCCAATTTCTCATTTCAAGCCTTCAAACTAGTGAAGATTCGTTTTACTTTATCAAAGCCTGTGCAGATAGTATCTACTTTTTTTTTATCACTACCTCAAAGTAAAGCACGGTTGGGATGCCTGTGTGTAATATAACGATTTACAAGAAACAGAAGCCTGTTCTAATATGCCAGCAGATACAGATCACGCCAGATCCATCCATCCATCACTAGGTAGATAAGTGGCTCTTCGGAGCTCCTGGAGGACTGATGTTTGGGACAGGTCTGGCTTATCTTTGCCATTTTAATTTGAAACTAATATATATGGAAATAGAAAAGCTTTACCTACTTACAATTTGTCAGGCCTTACTCAAGCAGGGTGAAAGCTGACAAGTGACAGTAAGCATGTTGCTTGTTTCTGTGCGGTATCTGTGGCTATGGAGAGCACTGCTTTCCTGCTCACCTCCCACTTATTGGTATTGAGGCAGACTTAGAGGGGTTTTTGCTGTGAACTTTCATGTTTTTAATGATAAAGCTGTATGTGCTGTTTAACACTTAACCCCTGGCTATATTGACAAGCTTTAAAAATATTTGAGAAGGATGAAGTAGAAACATATCAGACCAATAGCGCTCGTACTTGGGATCTGTTGTGACGCAAGATCGATGCTAGCAGCCGATTTGCTTCTCCGCAAATGCCGGTGGGGTCGTTAGCATTGCACCACTGCACGAGTCTGTTGAGCAGCGTGGGGTCTTGGCCCAAGATTTCAGCCGCATCAGCTGAAGGGAAAAGCATCATCATCAGACATTCAAAATCAGACTTCGCAGTCTTTCTGTCACAGAAATGTGAATGTGGAAGTAGCCGGGACCACAGGCCTGAGCTCAGTATCCTTTAAGAGCTGTAACTAAAGCATTGGGCTTTTAAGGGATCTTGGAAATCTTTACCTGAGGAATGCCAGTTGTGTTAGGGCAACTCTCGGAGGTAAAGAACAAAGTAAGCTGTTCTGATAGTAGTTTCTTAAAAAGGATAGGTCTGAAGCAGGGCTTAAAATGAGCAGCTTCATATCCTTGAAAGCAAATATTCTATTTGCTCTAGCAAATTGCTATACTGAAATCTTCATGAGGACTGTCCCTTTCTCGTTTGGTTTCTTGCACTTGCTCTTTGAGCGCTGCACAAATGTAATCATGGGCTCCTCAGAGTCTGTTCTTGCTGTTTCAGTGCTCTCAATGGTGATAATTACTGTTGGTAGCATGTGGGAAGCCCAGTCTTAGCACAGAATTGCAGCATGTCTGTAATTGCATGTCTCAAGTCTTGAGAATGTGTATTGGGCATCATCAAAACTTCCCCCAGAGTTTGGAGGAGCCTTTTAATTTGCCTTCCGCTGTGTTTCAGGAACCCTATCTCAAGACTTGCTAGAAGTATTAATCTGTGTGGTTGATATTTGGAAAAAACCTCACTAGATAACTTTTCCTAAGAAGTGGAGCTCTAATGATATGCTGTGGTTTAAGGCTTGTTGCCACTAAGGGAGACTACTGCCAAAGCTCTTAGAAGTTCAACAGCAAAAGGAACTTTACTCGTGCTCTCTCAATATTGCATCAGTCTAACACATGGTTCTTGAAAGTGCTGTGGATCAAAAGTGACTAACTGGTGGAAAGTGATTTCCTAAGCAAAGGAAAAATGCAGATATAAGAGCGCTGAGGACTCTGAAATACTCTATTTTAACCAAATATGTTAAGCAGGGGTTCAGCCCTGAGAACATCCTGGTAAATACTGCTTCAGTAATTTCAGTTAGTTGATTCTGTTTAATACTTAAGACACTAAAATTTTCTACATCTTGTTCTAACTGGAATTTTCTTCTAAGTGAATGGTACCAGGTGAAAGATAAGAAAGCAGTAATGTGCACAACTTAAACTGCCTTTTTGTAGGAATTGAGTGCTCACCCATTTGGCTTTGAGCACAAAAGAGCTGTTTTGTGAACTGCCAAACCACTGTTTCCATGTGTTCCAGTTGATCATGAACTGAGGATATGAACGCATAGCACTTCCAACTGGGCACCAGATGTAGCAAGTGAGAGGCAAGAGTAGTGACAGGACAGATGCTCAGTTTTGGTGTAGAATTATTCTATTTGCGAAAATATACTGTGGTTATAAGATTTAATTCAAATTTAGGAGTCTCATGTAGTTATTTGTAATTAAGGTTTTTTCCTGTTGACTTAATTTTGATCAACTTGAGTCCTGTCCATGCCTGCCCGCCCCCCATTTTGATCAACTTGAGTCCTGTCCATGCCCGCCCCCGACCCCTTGATGCTGGAGGACCAGAGCAGATGAGCATGAAATGTGCGTTGTGTGCTCTGAAGAAGGAAAGATGTAGTAAAGACCTTCATGGGAAGCGTACATTCCCTAAGAAGGGCTATAAAGGGTCTGTGAGCTTTTTCCAATTTTTTTCTGCTTTTCCAGTCTTTTAAAATAGTTCCAGGCTTGAAAGAAGGTAACGAGGAAGGTCCCTGCTCCTTTGGAAGCAAATTCAGAAAGGTAAAAACGTGGGGAAAAGTCTGCATGGTGTTAAGATACTGGGCAGTTTGTCTCTTGGAGCTTTGCTGAAGCAGACTTGAGGAAGAACCAACATTAATATCTGGAACAGAGGAGAGGGGTTTGGCTGATAGGGGCATCACTCTGCTCCTGTTTCTTTACCTGTCCCTTTCTGTGTGTTGCATTTGTTTTGAGATATTCTGGAAAGGGTCAAATAAAGTGTATGCCAGTGTCAATAAACCACATGATTACTCTGGATATTTTGCAGAAACTAAGTTAACCTATGCTCCTATTTTGGGGAGGGAGATGAGGAAGGACGGGCGCTTCCTTTTCTTATTTGTCCAGTACACTAAGGAACAATCCACAGATCAAAATCCCACAAGGAATCTGGGAGCTTCTAGCCTAGTTGAACATGTTTGTTTTGAGAGAAGAGTTACTTGTTGTTGCACAACCACCTGTATATTACCTCCTGTAGCAGAAAGGCTTTTGTTTCTAGGTCAGATGTTACATGTTAGTCTGAGGGGATCATGGTAATCCAGTTTAGTACAGAAAGCTGAAAGAGGTAAGGGGGTGGTGAATGGAACCAGTCTAAGAGGTTTGTTCAAAGGAGGCGTCTTGACCCAGTTTGACAGGGACTTCCTGATGTCTACCAGCAATAGAGCTCTTTGAGATAAAATGCAGTTAGTTATTCTTAACAGGAACAGGAGGACCTTTTAACTTACAAAACACCAAATTTGAATAAATTGTGTGTATGATTGAACTTTCAGGTGAGCTGAAAGTCCTTTGGCTGTTGAAGCGCACAAATTCTTCTGCTCCTCTGAAGCAAAACAGTGGAGAAACCAGGAGTTAATGTTAACATCTCTTTAGTGTAATGAAGCTGACAGATCTGACTGCAGTTTTCTATAGGTAGAAGGAAACCTACCTCTTCTAGTCTGTAGGCCTCAGCATGCCCAGTGATTGTCAGAGTAATGAATTTATACTAGATAATTCAATTAACTAATTTAGTGTGGACTTCTTAGTAGATGTGTATTCATAAGAGTTTCAGGCTGAGTTAATTAAGGGCAATGTTAGCTCATGGGTAAACAGAACAAAGTAATTAAAGGTGGGAGAATTGTGTGCTTATAGGCAGGAATGGGTAAACATTGAATAATCTTCTACATCTTTTTTTCTACTCTATACTTTGATATCTGTATTGGTTTCACATTCAGCAGTTGTACCATTTTGTGCCAAATTCCAACTTCATACTAGGAGGGAGGAGAATTGTGTGCTTATAGGCAGGAATGGGGAAACATTGAATAATCTTCTACATCTTTTCTACTCTATACTTTGATATCTGTATTGGTTTCACATTCAGCAGTTGTACCATTTTGTGCCAAATTAACTTCATACACTAGGACTGGTAAATAGCATTGAAAAAAAAAAAAAGAAAAATATTATTTAGTGTTTGATAATTTAGGTCTGTGTTATTATGATGTCTCAATTTTAAAAGCTAAATGGTCTCCCCTGTCACAATTCAGATATAACTTTGGAGACATGACCTTTTAATGACTTCCTTCAAAGCCTGAGAGGAAGAAGAGGCTAAGTGTCTGTATCTCTTGCAATGTCCATTTCCTACCATGGTGAAATGTAAGTGAAAGCAGCTTTTTACTGGACTGGAATCAGTGCAAATTAATATGAGTGCTAGATCTAAATTTTATATCATGCATGTTCATTTGAAAAAGGATGCAAGTAGCTGCTGTATCAAAGTGGTGTCTGCAGTGGTGTAAACGAGTGCAGCATGGAATGTAGGAGCATAAGGTTTTTTCCCCTTCCATATAACTAATGAATTTGTGATTGTAATTGTTCTGTACCAGCTGTCAGTTCCCATCGCAAAATGGTCATAACTTTTCTGATTCTGTTTTTGACCTATTTCTTGTTATTCCTGCACATCAAGGTGGTCTGTGCTGGTTAGTGTTCTAGAGCAGCTGCTCTGGTGATGTGAAAGAATTGGAACACATTAAAAAAACCCCAAACCCTACAACACTTGTGTTATAATCTGGTAAGAAGCTAGAGAAGTCTAAGGATAAATTAAGGTATTGTAGTACATCTTAATGTAATTCTGGCATTGTGCATGTTTTGCAAAATGCAACTATATGCACAGAGTATTTGTTGCCTTTGCATACCCACCTCTGTGTAAAACTGAATGAAGTGCAAGTAGATAATCCCATATTTCAACATGCAAAGTAAATTCAACATTTGAGCCGCACCAGCAAGATAAACCTGGCATCGTGTGTAGAGAGACTGCGTGACTGATAGAAACTCATTTCTCCTGCCTCTCTCCACCCCAGCTCCCTTTGATCCTTTTATATTCTCCAGTTCTATTGATTTGCTTTCCTGTGATTTTGCACTGTAAATCCTTAGCCTGACTCTTCCATCATACTCATGCCTTGCTGGTGTATCTCTGGTGGAAAACATCTTCCCTTTAGGCCTTTGCCATTTGTCACTGACTACTGCAGATTCTTCCCTTTGGTTTGTTTCTCATCTACCTCTGAGGCTGACTAGGTCAGTATTGGAAGGCTCGCAGCCTCCGGCAATCATCTCTGTTGGAACCTCTCTGGATTGAGTGGACTTAGGTTATCAGGACTTTTAGCCTGTAGTCTCCTTGCACATCTGTTGTCTTGCAGAGGGAGGGGAGGAGGGGGGTGTATAGTTGACATCAGTAAACATTAGCAATTCTCTACCTTGACCATCTGCTAACATCCGTAGTGTTCCAAGAAGTTTAAACTGCGCAGGAGGCATCTCTGACCTTAGAAGTGCCTGAATCCGTTCTGCCACACCTTCCTCCAGCATTTGAACCTTGTTAACAACTAGAAAATGGGAAAAAAAAAAAGTGAAGCTCAGTAACTACACAAGCAACAGAAAAAAAAAAAAAGGTGAAGCTCAGTAACTACACAAGCAACAAATAGGACATAACTGTTGTTCTGAATTTTATGTTCCGTTATGCTCCTAGCAAAAGGTCCAACTTGTTGGAGTGCTGTCCTGGTTTCAGCTGGGATAGAGTTAATTTTCTTCCTAGTAGCTGGCGTAGTGCTGTGTTTTGGATTTAGGGTGAGAACAATGTTGATAACACACCGATGGTTTAGTTGTTGCTGAGCAGTGCTTACACTAGGCAAGGACTCTTCAGCTTCTCATACTGCTCTGCCAGCGAGAAGCTGGGAGGGGGCACAGCCAGGACAGCTGACCCAAACTGGCCAAAGGGCTAGTCCATACCATGTGCCGTCATGTTCAGTATATGAATTGGGGGGAGTTGGCCAGGGGGGCGGGTTGACTACTGTTCGGGGACTGGCTGGGCATGGGTCGGCGGGTGGTGAGCAATTGCATCATGCATCACTTATTTTGTATATTCTTTTGTCATTATTATTATTATTTTCCCTTCCTTTTCTGTCCTATTAAACTGTCTTTATCTCAACCCATGAATTTTACTTCCCCCCCCCTCCGATTCTCTCCCTCATCCCACTGCGGGGGGCAGTGAGCGAACAGCTGTGTGGTGTTTAGCTGCCTGCTGGGTTAAACCACAACAAGTGCTCAGAAATGAAGTCAGGACTACCCAACTGTTTAGGCTTCTCTTTGGAGCTAAAAAACTTCCTAGGAATTGCTGTTATGATATTTCGGTTACTTTTGATCTCAGCCCTGCCCAGAATGAAGTACATAAAAGAGGATAAACACAGCATTTTTGTTTCTCTCCCTTTTTCTAGTTGTAATAGATTATCCATCCACTCGCCCACTCACATGAGCAAGCCTTTCCTGTGCTTGCTCATCTCAACTGAACTAGGTGGCAGAAGTGATTTACATAGCCATATTTCTTGAGAATGAATTTTCTTTTTGTATTTGAGCTCACTGATCCCCTGTTGTTCATACCTTTTGTTTCTATGCTTCCCTCTCCTAATTCTTGCATCTTTGCTCCAGTCATTAGTGCAGTAATCCCTGGTAATAAACAGAAGCTTGTCTGAAAGGGTCCTAATGCTGCTTGACTGTGCTACCAAAAGCTGATTCCTCTAGAGCAATTTTCTTCCCATCCTCTGCATGCCATTTTTTGAGGGGTGGGGGAATGACAGGACAGTGAAATTAGGGAGATAACTGTTCTATCCCTTCCTCCTTCTATTGGGCAAATTGAGAAGCAGACACTATTAAATAACTTGCTCTTAATGTCCTTGTTTTTCAGTGGCACAGACTGATTCCATTCACTAGAGCATAATGACTTTTGCCAAATTTTTTTTTATAAGCACCTGTTCTCTTTTAAGATCACAACTTGAATTGAAGACTTCTCCTGTGCCCATTTGCAAGTGTTGGCCCATATTTGATTCATTTTTATTTTGATTTATTTGGATTTGCACTCAATCTTCCCCCCCCTTCCCCCATATTTTAAGCGGGTGCCTGGGCTTGGCATTGCAAAAAGCGCGCCTTGGTATTCGTTGAGGAATGGGTTCTGTTGTGAGTTAGAATGTGATCATCCCTGCTTGTTGTCAAGGGAAACTACATCAAAATTACTATCTTTCAAATGAGATTAATTGGTATCTTTGCTGCTTGTAATCATTAAATCCTATTGTACATATTGCAGGAGTGAAGTCAATTAGAACTAAGCATGGGACACCCCTAGGCTTATAGAAGAACATCCACCTTTTCATTCTAATAAAGATAGTCACATTTTTGCCTACTAAATTACTCCTACTTTCAGCTGGATGGCTCTCTGATTTTTCATGATTCTATGATTATCTTCTAACAGCTCTGTGTTCGGTTGTAACTGATGTAAGGTAGCTGGCATGCATGGCCAAAATACTGCATACTCTATTAGCACCAAAAAGCAATTTGCCCAGGCCTCTGTCTGCTGATGTGAATGGTGGTAGAAAATCTCTTCACAGAGAAACAAAATATACATAGAAGCAGTGAGGGGCTCATGGTGTGAAATATGTTTGTTAAAAACCTGAATTCACAGACATGGCTGGCTATTATGATCCAGAGAGTGAGATAATGCTATAAGCCAAACTAAATATATTACTTGAGAGCATATCAAAACTAAGTTGAAAGAAATAGGTGGAGTTCTGAAGAGAGCTATCTGCAAGAAGAAATGAGCGTGTATCAGGCTTTAAAAGGAAGTAGTGGAGGCAAAGTAGCAACTAGTATATTCTGGGGCTCTCACTTGTTCAAAGCAACGATTATGTATAAAACTGTTAAACCAAGCATGCTGGCTAGCTTACATAATAAAATTGGCAGACAACTTCAAGTTCTTTTCTTTTCAGAAAATAGCATTTGGTGTCATGCTCTTCTCTGGAGTACTGTATAGCAGTGTAAGGACTGTGTTGCAGGGTGCTGTACTGCTAAGTCTCTAGCAAAATGTTTTTGGCCTGAATTGCACTTTCACATGGAAGCAGTAAACTTGAGATGAGAAGCAGCACAATTTTCTGATGTGTATTAACAAAAGATCACAAAAGTAGACTCATAGAATGGTTTGGGTTGGAAGGGACCTCTAAAGGTCATCTAGTCCAACCCCCCTGCCCTGGGCAGGGACATCTTCAACTAGATCAGGTCGCTCAGAGCCCCGTCCAGCCTGACCTGGAATGTTTCCAGGGATGGGGCATCCACCACCT